TACCATGAAGAGAAGAGGGGTTCTTATGTGTTGCATGCCATTGTTATCAAGGTGGTTTATTTCTCACCTCCCTAAGTCCGTAATGAAGAATGAAGAAGGTTTAGGTTGGTCGCAAAGGATAATGTCACTCGCTCACACGGATATTCTCTGGTATTCCCGAGCAATGGGAGATACTAATATTATTGATCGCTGCGGGGAGTACCCTAATGTCCCATTACTTGGCATTAGAGGAGGCATAACTTACAATCCTTATTTGGCTCTGCGACAATTTGGTTACGCTCGAAGGGATGGTCTTCATGAGTTACTTATCGAGGGCATTGTATTTAACTATGGGGATGATGTTCAAGGGTATCTCCAGAGGTTCATATGAGCTTGGAACATGGTAAACAGATCTGATGCCAAGGCTTTGGGGCCGAAGGCTTCCATTCCTATGGAACCTTATGTCCAATGGGAACGAGCTCGCGCCCAGAAACTTATAATGCCCTACATGGCCGTTTTACCAGTGATTGTGGAACCCACTACTGAAGGGGGTATTCCTTACACGGTTCTCCATCCTGATATGGCCACTGATCCTGAAGAACTACAGAGGTCTTGGATTCAGTTGAAGAAAGAGCGGGATACTTATAGGGACCAGTTCTATGCCCAGGAGAGGAAGGTTTTAGAGCTCACAAAGCAGCTTCATGAGGAAAGAAGACTTAATATTTATCTCGGCACGAAGAGGAAGCATCCATGGGAAATTTGATTTTTTTTTTAGTTTTTAGAATTTTAAATTGTAAACGCCTAAAAGGCAATTGTACTTTGAATTCTACTAATAAAATCTTTGTTTCATTTTGGTTCGCAAATTTAAATTTCCCAAAGTCCTTGAAATCATAGCATACGCATCCCATCCATAAACACTGCATATACAGGTACCATTACAGGCTTCTCATCTTCTCTGCTATTTATTTCAGCAGAAATGTCTTCTGAACAAAGCATCAAAGATCTTCAGGCACAAAATGCCCAATTTCAATAGATGTTCATAAATCTGGAGAAAGGGCAGGAGGATCTGAAAGCCCTCATCCTGAATGAGAAGAAGAAAAAGAAGAAGGTCTCTAGTATTCTAAATATGGGCAGAAGGTTCAGGGAGGCATTAAAGCAACCAGTCAATCTAACCTCCTCATCCAAGGAAGGGGAGAATCAAGAAATGGAGACAAGGGAAAAGGACCCCAGTCGTGATGTTTCTGACAATGATACATACTACAATGATGAGCAGTATCCCCACTGAGGATAGATACAAGCAGATGGAAGATCGTTTGAGTACTATGGAAGTCCAGAGGATACCTGGGTTGGATTTAGAAGAACTGGGATTGGTGTTGGGAGTGGTCATCTCGCAGAAATTTAAGGTTCCAATTTTTGAAAAGTATGATGGGGTGTCTTTCCCTAAGCTCCATCTCTGTTCCTATGTAAGGAAGATCCAGTCCCACACCGCTGATAGAAACTTTTGGGTTCACTTCTTTCAAGATAGTCTGTCAGGGACTCAGCTTGAATGGTTCTACCAACTGGAGAGAACCAATGTCCAAAACTGAGAGGACTTGGCCGCTGCTTTTTATAAGCAGTATCAATATAAAGTCGACCTTGCCCCCACTTGTACTCAACTCCAGAGTATGTCCATGGGTGCAGGTAAAGGCTTTAAGGACTATGTGCAGAAGTGGAGAGACTTGGCTGGCAGAGTCCAACCCCCCTTATCTGACAGGGAGTTGGTTGACATGTTTTTGGGGACGCTGTCTGATCCATTCTTTAATCATTTGATCGGCAGCTCGTCAGTTGGTTTCATTGAGCTGATATTAACTGGAGAAAGGGTAGAATCTAGGATTCGGAGCGGTAAGATATAGAAAGACATCTCTTCTAGTTCGGTAAAGAAGCCTTTCACTGTTAAGAAGGAACCCAGTGCCATCTATAGCCCGATAGGCCAAAACAGAGTTGAACATCGTCCGACGGTAAGTGCTGTAATGATACCTAGGCCTACGGCTGCTCCACAATGCCACAATCAACAAAGGGTAGCAAACCACAAAGGAAGTTTACCCGGATTAACATGACATTAACAGATATTCTACCCCATCTACTAATATCTAACTTGGCAACCTTGAAAGAGGCTCCCAAGAATCCAAATACTACATCTCCTCGGTACAATCCAAACGCTCGGTGTGCCTACCATTCTGAGAGTCCTGGCCACGATAAAAATGATTGTTAGGCTCTGAGAAATAAGGTACAAGACCTGGTTGAAGCCAAAGGGATTGAGTTCGATGCTCCAGAGAAGCCCAATGTCATAACTGCTCCCATGCCTAAGCACAATCGTGGAGTTAATGTTGTTGATACCGATCTATTTGTGACCTCAGTTGATGAAGTTTTTACTCCTCTTATGACTATTAAGAAGAATTTGTTATTGGTTGATTTATTTTCGGTTTGTGGTGAAGGTTGCCACGTGTATTAATCTCTGCCTTCTGGTTGCCATTTGCTGAAAACAGGTTTCCAACGCCTGATGAACAACAGAGAAATTTTGTTCGAGAAAACTTTGATTCCAACTGTTCCATGTAAAGATATTGAAATTATAACCATTTCCGCCAATCCTTCCAAGGTCTCCTCGAGAAGACCTGTTAGGATTACATCTGCTCCAAGAGTCGCTCTGTTAATAATCATCCTTCCTGGTCCTGTCCCATACACCTCGAACAAAGTTGTCCCTTGGCATTATGGCGTCGATGTCTACTATCATGGCATTAGACAAGACCTGAAGAATGAAGAGGCTAATCCCGATGTCAGTAACATTATCGGGACCAGTAAGATCACCAGAAGTGGAAGGGTTTTCTCTTCCAAACAAGTGCATCTTTGGGGTAAGGTCTGGAAAGCTTCTGGGTTTCATCGTCAGTGACAAAGGTATTCAGGTAGACCCCGCAAAAGTAAAGGCCATACAAGAGATACCGACTCCCCGTACAGAGAAGGAAGTTAGAGGTTTCTTGGGACGTTTAAATTATATTTCCAAGTTCATTTCACATCTGACTGCTACTTGTGAACCCATCTTTAAGCTTCTGAAGAAAGATCAAGTGGTAAAATGGAATGACAAGTTCCAGACAACCTTCAAAAGGATCAAAGAATATCTCAAAGAACCGCCAATTCTGATGCCTCCGATTGAAGGAAGACCTTTGATACTATACTTGATAGTGCTAGAAAATTCAATGGGGTGTGTGCTGGGGAAACATGATGAGTCTGGTCGAAAAGAGCACACAATATACTACCTTAGCAAAAAGTTTACCGACTGTGAGACACGATACTCACTGCTTGAGAAAACTTGTTGCGCTTTGGCATGGGCTGCTCTCTGACTAAGACACTACATGTTGACCCACACTACTTTGTTGATATATAAGATGGATCAAATCAAATACATCTTCGAGAAGCCCTCTCTCTCCGGAAGAATAGCAAGATGGCAGATGATCTTAACTGAATACAATATACAATTTACAACCCAGAAAGCAATCAAGGGGAGTGTATTGACTGATCATTTGGCTCATCAGGCCGTGGATGACTACCAGTCCATGAATTTTGAGTTCCCGGATGAGAATATTATGCTACTGGCTGACTACGAAGAACCTGGACGGATGAAGGACCTGAGGAAGGATCCCGATGGACTATGGTTTTTGACGGAGCCTCGAATGCACTTGGTAATGGCATCAGCGTTGTAATCATATCTCTTGAGGGCTGTCATACTCCTTTCACCGTCCGACTATGTTTCAACTGCACTAATAACATGGCAGAGTATAAAGCCCTTATCATGGGTCTCAAAGCCGCTATTGACCTCAGGATCAAGTTCTTAAATGTATTCGGGGATTCAGCCTTGGTGATAAGTCAGATCAAAGGAGAATGGGATACGAAGTATCTGAATCTCATCCCATACAAAGAACACGTACTGACGTTGCTCCCACACTTTGAGGAGGTAACCTTTGAACATTTCCTACGAGAGGAGAGTCAGTTAGCGGACGCGCTAGCTACCATGTTTTCCATGTTCAAAGTCAAGTGGAACAACGAAGCTCCCCGAATCACCATTGAGAGGTTGGATGAACCAGCGCACTGTTGTGAGATTGATGCTGAAGAGGTGGCAGACAAATCCTGGTTTCATGAAGTGAAGAAGTACCTCGAGACTGAGGAGTATTCCGAAGGGGAATCTGTCAATGATAAGAAGTTTCTGAGAAGGTTCACTGTGAAATTCTTCCTTAGTAATGGAATCCTCTATAAGCGCAACCATGACTCTACCTTACTGCGGTGTGTAGACAAGAGTGAAGCAGAGAGGATTATGCACTACTAAAGAAAAGACATTTGAGAAAAGGTTTTTACATCGGGTATCAAAATATATGATGTAAAAAATACAATTAACAAACTTTTTACATCAGGTATTTATTTGCAATGATATAAAAAATAAGAAAAAAAATATATTTCGCTACCTATTACATCGGGCAAACGCATCCACCGATGTAAAAAGTTTTCAGAAAACAATACGGTGGCATTTTTGTAAATAAGAAACAAGATAGTAGAAATATTAATAAAAAAGTAACATATTACATCGGTTAACTAAAAACCGATGTAATATCTTCACAGCAGATATTAATATAAAAAATAAATTAAAGAATCAATTAAAACAATTACATCGGGAAAAGTTTAAACCGATGTAAAAAAGTCAAAAAAAGAAGCTTGCATCGGGTATTAGTATCCACTGATGTAATAGGTTCAAAACCCTTACATCGGTTATTAGGATCCACCGATGTAATAGCTTCTCCACTATGTAAAAATATCAGAAAAAGATTTGTGATATTTTGTTAACATTTATTTCACTTCAGACATGATTAAAATTTAGTTATAGTTTGATCCTTAAACGTGTTACCCACACGACAACCACAAGTTCCCGAAACTTCAATCCCCTTCCACATTTCACACATTCATCTTCTTTGCATACTTCACCGCAACAAACTATCCCCATGGCTTCTCTTCTCAACGGCAGGCTATCTTCCTTACACCCCCAACACAGCCGTGAACCCCCCTTCTCCAAATTCCCCCACCACCCCAACCACTTCCCAATCCCCAAAACCCCCAAATCCAAACCCCTCAAGATCCGCGCCGATGTCAGCTACGAACCCCGCAACACCTCCTCCGATGACAAAATCCGCGAAATCCTCCGCAACCACGACTACGACACAAAATTCGGCTTCAACATCGACATCGATTCCTTCACCATCCCAAAAGGACTTTCCCACGAAACAATTAGGTCAATCTCAACCCTTAAATCAGAACCAGATTGGATGCTTAATTTCCGTCTCAACGCCTTCGAGAAATTCTCCAAAATGAAAGAACCCAATTGGTCAGACAACACTTATCCATCCATCAATTTCCAAGATATTTGTTATTATTCCGCTCCAAAGAAGAAACCCTCTCTTAACAGCTTAGAAGAAGCCGATCCCGAGCTTCTCAGGTACTTCGATAAACTCGGTGTTCCGTTAAACGAACAGAATCGCTTAGCGAATGTCGTCGTGGACGCGGTTCTTGATAGTGTTTCGATTGCAACTACTCATAGGAAGACACTTGAGAAAGCTGGGGTTATTTTTTGTCCGATTTCCGAGGCCATTCGAGAGTATCCTGATTTGGTTAAGAAGTATTTAGGTAGAGTTGTTCCTAGTGAGGATAACTATTACGCCGCGTTGAATACCGCTGTTTTTAGCGATGGATCCTTTTGTTATATTCCCAAGGATACTAAGTGTCCCATGCAGATTTTGACTTATTTTAGGATTAACGCATTGGAGACGGGGCAATTTGAGAGGGCGTTGATTGTTGCGGGGGATAGAAGCTCCGTGGAGTATTTGGAAGGATGTACTGCGCCTTCGTATGATAAGAATCAGCTTCATGCCCACTGTCCGCATATGCCATTTCCGTTCAGTTCCCTTACGACCACCACCAAAACCGCAACTCTCCCTCCCGGCCCACTCCACATCCCCACCCTCACAAGCCTCCTATGGCTCCAAAAATCCTTCTCCCAACTCGAACCTTTTCTCAAAACCCTTCACACCAAACACGGTCCCATCATCGCTCTCAGAATCGGTTCTCGACCTTCCGTTTTCATCGCCGACCATTCTCTCGCTCACCACACTCTCGTTCATAACTCGTCAATCTTCTCCGACCGCCCTAAAGCACTTCCCACCGGAAAGCTCATGTCCAGCAACCAGCACAATATCAGTTCCGTTTCTTATGGTGCCACGTGGAGAACCCTCCGTCGTAACCTGGCCTCCGAGATGCTCCATCCGGCGAAAGTCAAATCTTTCTCAGAAATCCAGAACTGGGTCCTTGACACTCTCATCAACCGTCTCAAAACGGCTTCGGAGTCTGAATTCTTTATGGCTGTTCCCCACTTTCATTATGCAATGTTCTGTTTACTTGTTTTTATGTGTTTTGGTGAAAGAGTTAGCGATGAGAAAGTTAATGAAATTGAACGCGTACAAAGGACGCTTCTGTTGAGTATGAGCAGATTCAATATATTAAATTTTGTGTTTGTTTGAATTAGTTTATTTGGTGCTGGAAACTGTTTATACTCAAAATCTTCCAGGGAACACTTTTTACTTCAAAAGCAGAGAATAATCAAATTCAAAAATGCTTTAACTTTCATTCAAAATTTATCACACCTCCGCTAATATTAAGTGCCAATTTTGTTTGATGTTCTATGAAGTCTGTTAACTTTATCATCTTTTACATTTCATCAGGCATATTCAACTGTTAGAACTCTTGACTACATGGCTCCTGAAGTTTTGCTCAAGAAGGGGTATGTAATAGAGTGTGATTGGTGGTCTCTTGGGGCAATCATGTATGAGATGCTTGTTGGATATCCTCCATTCTATTCTGATGATCCAAGGATGACCTGCCGGAAGGTATTGCTGTTGATTGAATTTTCCGTCCTTTCTATATCTTCTAAATTAATTATTTCCACCAAGTTGGTATTCCTGTATTGTGTCAGATTGTGAATTGGAAAGCATGCCTGAAATTCCCCGAAGAACCCAAGATATCAGCTGAAGCTAGGGATCTCATATGTAGCTTATTATGTGATGTTGACACAAGACTAGGAACAAGGGGAGTAGACGAAATAAAGGTAAAAACTCCCATGGGATATTGTTTGTTTGGGAGACTGCTCTATTAATGTGATTTTGAATGGAATTATTTTTACCAAATTGACTTAGTTACAATTGAGTTTAAAGTAAAGTAATTAATGTTAGAGTGATTTTTACTTTAAAAGTTGGTTTAAAGTAAAGTAATTATTGTTAGAGTTGATTTTTACTTTAAAGTAAAATTTCCAACTCAGTGTAAAAGATACTTTATCACGTTGTCTCATTGGTCTTCTTTCTACTTTCAACACAACCTTTCTTTCTTTGAAATTCTTAGCAATGCATCTGAAGAAAAATAAATAATGTGCATATGTTATTGCGCCTTCTACCAATTGTTATAGATATGTCTTCGCCAAATCTATCGGGATAATCGCCATCTAAATCAATTCATTGGACTACGTGTGTGACTTGGTTATAAACACTAATGTCTATTGATTACAAATCATTGTGGGACTATCTTGTCTCCTGCAACTTTCCAACTCTCAAAAACAAACATTTACTTCAACCACTTCTCCATTATTCTGTAATGCATTAAATCTCAAATTAGAAGAAACAGATTCTGCAACTGAAGCAAGATATAGAAGTGAGTGTGGTAATTACCCTACAAAAGCTCTGCTATTACAAATGTGATTGCTGGAAGAAGAACAAGTGTTAAACCTGCAGTAACTACATGAAACATTCATTTTGTTCGACGTGAAACTACACAAAATTCTGCTTCGTGACAAAACTGAAAATTGTTGTTGCATGCATACTTATTCTGCACCAGTGTAAACAACTGCAGTGCAAATTCTCACAAATGAATATATTACTTTTCATAACTTTTAATTGATGTTACTATATAGCCATTACCTATGAAAGTAACTAACTATAGTCATTATCTTCATCTACAAATATCATATTCATGACCCATAGTATTTCATTATCTTCATCTACAAATATCATATTCATGGGCCATAGTATTTCATTATCTTTATCTACAAGTATTCTGGAAAATACACCATCACTTCTTAATGGTTACTTGTTGTTTTTTACTTTATTTAGATAGATACACCACTTTTTAATTGCTTATCAATTCACTTCATATTGATTATTATATTGTACAGATACTAGATCTTCTAAAGTACGTGCTTTGGTTTCCACAACCAGCTGAAGCTATAAGCCAAGGTATATTCCATGATTCTTCATTAATATTCTCATCCTCTCTTCATTAGTGTTTGTTTGGTTAGTTTATTTATTTGGGTGATGTTTGTTTTGGTTGATGATTGAGTGATATGGTATTAAATGATAACATATAACTTACGTGGATGCAAGGTTTATTGTGTAATAATTATGGTCTGGTTTAGATCTGCATGCAAAGATGGTGAATGAAACAGAAAAAGATGGTTTTGGAAGGTGTAGAAGTAGCGGTCATCAGCATGCTTTTACATACAGGTTTTCAAGTTGTGAAATGGTTTTTAGCTAAAATATAGTCTAGAGACAATAATACTCTTTATATATCAAACACACATATTTTGTAATGTATTGAAAATGGGTTGAAACCAAATGGGCCATAATGATTGAAAACGAATTGAAAAAATATTCATTTCATCGGGTACTTTTTACATCGGCTGGGAGTAATAACCGATGTAAAAATTTGCGTCACTGGGGACTTTTTACATCGGGTATTACTTCCAACCGATGTAAAAAACTGGATCAATTTTTTTTAAAAATGTACATAATAACTGTTTCTTACATCGGTTCTTATATTATAACCGATGTAAAAAAGGGACTTTTTACATCGGGTATTACGTCCAACCGATGTAAAAAACTAGATCAATTTTTTAAAAAATGTGCATAATAACTGTTTCTTACATCGGTTCTTATATTATAACCGATGTAAAAAAGGGACTTTTTACATCGGTCCCAGAACCGATGTAAAAAGTACCTGATTTACTATATCGCCTGACTTTACATTGGACCCAGAACCGATGTAAAAAGTCACTTTCACCCGATGTAAAAAGTCATTTCTGCACTAGTGATGACAGATCTACATGAAGGTACCTTCGGAACCCATTCCAGTGGACATACCATGGCTAAGAAAATCCTACGGGAAGGATACTACTGGTCCAATATGGAAGCAAATTGTTATCAGCACTCCCGAACTTGTCAGAAGTGCCAAATCTATGCTAATAAGATGCATGTGCATCCGGTTCCTTTGAACGTCTTGACAGCTCCGTGGCCCTTTGCAATGTGGGGCATTGACATGATCGGAGAAATCAGGCGTACTGCTTCTAATGGACATCGCTTCATCTTAGTGGCCATTGATTACTTCACGAAATGGGTTGAGGCGGCCTCCTTTGCTACTGTTACCAAGAACGTCGTGGCGCGATTTATCCGACATAATCTGATTTGTCGGTATGGTGTTCCAGAGAGAATTATTACTGACAATGGTACGAATCTCAACAAAACGATGATCACCGAGCTCTATAAGCAATTCAAGATACAGCATCATAACTCTTCTCCCTACCGGCCGAAGATGAATGACGCTGTTGAAGCGGCTAACAAGAACATCAAGAAGATTATACAGAAGATGGCAGTAACATACAAAGACTGGCATGATATATTACCATTCTCTCTTCATGGGTACCGTACCTCAGTATGGACGTCGATAGGGGAAACACCCTACTCTCTGGTATATGGCATGGAGGCAGTCCTACCCATCGAGGTCCATATACCTTCTCTCAGGATTATGAAAGATGCGGGTTTGAATGAAGACGGCTGGATCCATACCCGAATTGATCAACTAAATCTGATCGATGAGAAGAGACTTACTTCTATTTGTCATGGTCAAACATATCAAAAGTGAATGATCAAGGATTTTAACAAAAAAGTCAGACATCAAGAATATCAAGTCGGGGATCTAGTAATCAAGCGCATCATACTGTCGCAAGGTGATCCTAGGGGTAAATGGACTCTCACATACGAAGGACCATTTGTAGTTAAAAACATTTTCTCTGGTGGAGCTATGATTCTAACAACCATGGATGGTGACGACCTTCATCACCCTGTCAATGCGGACATAGTGAAAAGATATTACGCATGATAAAAGACCCACTAGGTTGACTGGCCTAGGCAAAAATAAGGGCTTCTCGGCGAACCAAAAAGGTTCGGGAAAAAGTAATGGATGAAAACGAAAAAATTTATACACCCGACAAGTCGAAAACCTGAAAAGGCGATATGGGCAAAAAGGGGTATCCCGGTGAACTGAAAACCCAAAAGGACAGTCCAGGAAAAAGTTAGGGATGTAAAGCATATCACTATGTCCCATTGGATCATCTTGCAACTAGACCTCATTATCAACTGTCAAGCTCGAACGGCACCAATCAATCTAATCAACTTCGGACAAGTAGCAAGGCGATGAGACGCCCGAAGACATAGCGACAATAGCAAACTTGGAACCCAGGGGGATTGTTGTACATATTTGTTTTCTTCTTTACACAATATTGAATAACTTCCATTTTTACGGCGGTGTTCTCTTACTAGAGCGTCATCTTCCTTGTACAAGAACGCCTATTTTAGGCCAACTTCGAAAATCAATACAAATCATTATTACAAAAAAAACTATGTGTTTTTTCTTTTTCTGTTTTGTTTTGCAAGAACGTCCCATGGTTTATTCTTGAAATATGCATTTGAATATGATTGTTGTTCACAAATATTCACATTCACATAAGAAACGGAAAGACAATTTCTCATAACTTAAGAAACATGGGCAAAACAAAAGCTAAAAAAATGTCAAACTCGACGGTTACTCTGTCCAGCAGGTACCGGGGCACAGACAACTTTGAAGTACAATCATCAGTAGATATGACCTCGTGACATCTACACTCCCCATAGAGTAAAAGCAATCAAATCATTGATATCAGCTTTCCCACAACAGGGACTAATCTCCCCAGCCAGGGTCTTTCAGAAATCTGACAGCTATATCCCCCCAGCCAAATTTCATAAGCGCGAGCGGATCATCATAATTTTTATCTCCCCAAGTAGAGTTTATTTCTCTGAATACAGAAGCTTAATCCACGACAGAGCTTATTATTTTAGCTACGAAAATTCACCGTCCAAATTATTCCTCGCAGAGCTACTCTCAGACAGAGTCTCTCCCTGACGGAATCATAAACAACAAAATGTAAATCTTCAGCACAGTCATTTCCCTTCACCATCCCCAGCGGAAGTAGAAGAACAACAATTCTTTACAACAGTCAGGAATGCTATATTCTCCAGCAGTAGTCAGGCTTTTATTTTCCCAGACTCGGACATGTCCCCAATATCATTTCATGTACATACATCATGACATGCACATACACATCATATACAGCATAATCTCATTTATGTTGAGAACATCATCTCACAAGGCATTTCATGTATCACACATATAATTAACCCTGTTATCTTTTCAGGAAAGACAATTATCACTGGCAGTTCTAGCAGTTATACATGTCATATCTACAGACAGCTAATGGAAAATCATTTCCTGAAGATCAAACGGGTCAACTAATCTACATAACCAAATAAAGTAACCCTATAACCCCGATTCCTTCTTGCAACCCTACTATACAAGCTTTCATTTCGAAGTAACCTTATGACCCAGGTTCCTTCTCATAAGCCCTACTATCCAGTCTTTCATTTCGAAGTAACCCTACGACCCAGGTTCCTTCTCATAAGCCCTACTATCCAGGCTTTCATTTCGAAGTAACCCTACGACCCAGGTTCCTTCTCATAAGCCCTACTATCCAGGATTTCATTTCGAAGTAACCGTACTGTTGTACCCCAAAATTTTTCCTCTCATTTTATTGAACACATGTGCATTGAGATCCCGAAATTGCTCAAGGATGCCCAAGAGTTGACCAGACAAACTCTCTCCTAAGGCAATGTACCTCAAACTATGGTTTCCATTTTCATCAGGATGGTTGAAGTCCAAAGGTCCCAAATACTTTCCGTGGTCCCAATATGTTCTCAAGATCATCCATGTCAAGTTTCATGCCTTGCACAAGAAGTTTGCTCAGTCAATTGCCCATATGCCTGAAAATCAATTGTACTAGGTCAAAAGTCAACTGTGGCCCACATATAGTCAAACTTCAAGATTTTTGGTCAACATATAAATTTTGAAGATATATCCATCACTTGATCAAGGGTTGATCATGATACCTCAAGGAATGCCCCAAATTCATCAAAACCCAAAAGTTGCTAAATTAGGGTTTCACACGAAAAAGTCAACCAAATTTGACCAGGAATAACTTCTTCATACTTTATCAAAAAATTTCCATTCAAGGCTCACTTTGAAGAGGATGAAATTCCCTACAACTCATCTTCATCCCACAAGTTCAAAATATGTATTCACCAAAAGATATGAATTTCCACATTATAGGTCATTTTGAAAAGTCAACAAAAACACCTTTTAGGTCAAAGCTTCTTACATGAACATGGAAGACCCAATTGAGATGAAACCAAAAGGGTTGTTTAGGGGACATCCTAAGCTTTCTAAAAAGTCCAAGAACACCTCTCTGGGGTTAAAATTGAAGGAGATATGCCTTGTCAAATTTGACCATTTTTGGAAAATTGCCAAAAGTCAAATATGCTCAAAAGTGCATTTTTTTGTCAAATGGGCCTAGCTTCTCATGATTGCATCTTGTTGGAAACATGGCCCACGACCCAAATCAGCATCCATACTTTATTTGCTTATTTATTTATTTTATTTTGATTTTTATTTATTAAAAGTTAGATTAAATCAAATAAATTGTAAAAAAATATAAAAGATTGATTTTAGATCTGATTTTTGTAGGAATCAAAAACTAATCAGGCTGGCCAACTCATATCAAATCAGATCAAGGGATAATTGGAGCAAATTGGCATGATTATACTTGTTTTGGAAAGATATCCTATAGCAAAGAAATCAAATCAAATTTCCATGATTTACAAAGATTCAAACGATTTTTGTTGCCATAATTCATCACATTATATATACTGAACAAGAACAATGCGCAAGAACAAGGATTGCAGTCGTGAGAACCCCAGAACAAAACTCAAAAATTGGCAAGAAAGTGGTGATTCGTTTTCTAACCTAGAGATCAATTCAAGCCATTCCAAAGCTCATAATCGATTCCTGGACCTTCCCAGAAGCTAACACGATCATTTGCAGGCATTCCCAAGCCCATAATCACCCCCTAGACTACACGCGGTTTACTCTTTATTTCAAAATTGACTATAGCAATTCTTGCATCATAAGCATATTTTAATAATGTATTTGTGATTATTGACACATTTGCAACATGCTTGGATGATTTAATTGAAGTTTTGACGTACGTATGCGTATTTGCCATTGCTAGGGTTTACTTCATCATTTTAGGGTTTTCGAATGCATGAATACTTGGCCCTAATGAAGGACACCATTGTAATCAGAGGGTCAAATCCAATTGATCCATGTTCTTT